CCCCACCTTCAGCAGCAAGCAAAGAGTTTCGATTCCAATAGTACCAACAGCAGTATGATTGTGTATCTGTCTCACCTTTCCCTTGAGTGCTGATCGTCGCCTGATCCCCTGGTCACTCCTTGCAGTACCTTTCTCTTCAGACCACGATGATCTATCTGTGCTTCTGCACTATTCACCCCCATCACCCAAGGAGCCCTCACAACATTTAGCTTGTCATGCATTACTTTACCACTAAGTGGCGCAGAACCAGCCAATCTGTCTACCTCTTCATTTCCTAATACACCCGCATAGCCTGGGGGAAAAAAATAAAAAAGACGCTAACTACCCGATACCTCTGAAGCGATGCTTGATACTTTTCACGGATGATTTCGGTCTCCGCCTTTCTCAACTTGTTGTAAGTCGGTTACAATGCGACATGTGTATACGGCTGATTCCTAAGCTAGCGAAAGGCTGCAGTAATTGCTTCCACCTCCATTCTCAGACAAGATGTTCCGGTATCATATGCTAGGCTTTGTTGCCTTAAACGATGCCCATTCACTTTTTCTAAGGACACCCCTCCCCCCCCCCCTCCCCCCCCCCCCCCCCCTCCCCCCCCCCCCATGAGCTTCGTCTGCCTCTCAACCCAGAGCCATCTGTGCAGATTATCACATCACCTGGGAGAAGAATTGTCATGAAGCGATTGTTGAGCTTCTAATTCTGCAGAGCCCGCTGGCCAGTCCCTGCACTCACTGCCCAGTGTGACCAAAACCCTACACAAGTCTGACTTTTGCTGGGACATTCCTCACCCAGCTTTATCAAGCCTGCACACATATTCCTTCAAATATGGCTGTAATCGTTTAAAGTTAGTTGCATATTCTTTACAGGACGTTGCAGAACCAACCCTAGCATATTTTGGCTGTTGTGGTTTTCCAAGGCAGGTTTTAAATCCAGTAGTTTAAGCTTTAATAGGAATAACTGTAATGAGGCTGGTTAGAGAATATAAACATACGTCTGAGGAATCCATAATTAACATAATTTGTAGACGAAAGGCCAGGTAGAAAAACCGATAGCAAGATATAGTTTAATTAAATTAATTTTGGAAAGGGGAATAGATGTTCCTATACGAGAAGTGGTGAGGTGTAAGAAAGTCGAAGTTTACGTGAAAGCGTGAACTTTGTTAACATAATCGAATGTGGGTGGGGGGGGGGGGGGGGGGGGGGGGGGAGTTGTTAACTCTGGTAGAGAAAGAAAGTGAGATCAACAGAATGCATCCAAGCAGTCGGGTTACCATGCAGTGTATTGTTCTTTCTCCCCCACCCTCCTCTTCGCATTATTACCCATAGTCATTCATCTTTAAGCTGATAAAACTTACTGGTCATATCTGCTGTAAAGTTATGTGAAATGTAGTAAACAATTAAATACAGCTCTTTATGAGTTCAAAGAATTATTTTAGGGGTCGGAAGGGGAGGGGGAGGGGGGGGGGAATAGGTTGACTGCCTCCCAACACGCCTGTCTGTCTTAAAATGCGACTAACCGGTGATTCGCTGAAATCTAACTTGCTGGTCTGAAGGGAGTTGATATTGGAGACTGGCTGTAAACCATAAAACAGCAAGCTTATCGCCCGTTTAAAGGTGAAGGCAGAAGGACGACGGGAAGAAAGAGGAGGAGGAGAAGTTGTAGTAGTAATAGTAACAGTAGTAGCAGCAGCAGCAGTAATAGTAGCAGTAGTGGTGGTGGTGGTGGTGGAAGTGGTAGCAGTAAATAAAGAAGGATGATGAGGAAGAGGTAGACGAGGAGGAGAATGAGGACAAATTCAGAGCATAAAACATATTGTTATTCACACTCCGACAAACATTATGTTGTTCACTCCTGGTTTATTTCTGTTGCTCATAAAGGTTCACAGACAAAAGAAACCAATAAATATACGTTAATGGTTTATTTAACTTCACACAATTATCGGTCAAACTTAAGATTACTATACAGTAAAATCTCATTAACACGAACTTTCTTGAGAAAAACATTAGGTTAACATGAACAGAATATTTGTGTCAGCAGAAATGTGTATTCAGTTGTCCCCGGGGTACAACGATTTTTATTTCTCCTCAACTTTTGGTGGGGTTTTTTCCTTCCGTCTCTTGGAAATCCTGTTAATAAGGTTTTTACCGTACAAAGAACTTCTTGACAGGCAGCCTTTTTTAAGAGGACCCGAGTAGTTAACATTCATTTGATATTTTATGTTGGTATGGCGGTGTGTTGGGAAAATGAGCAGACAGATAGACTCGCCGGTATTGCACCACTTGGTGGTGAATTGATGTATGAAAAGCTAGATGTTGTGAGGGCCCTTTGGGAGCCAGTGAACAGTACGGAGGCACAGATAGATCACTGCGGTCTGAAGAAAATGATGCTGCGAAGAGTTTCCAGGTGATCTGGCCCACGCTCAACTCTTAAGGGAAAGGCGAGAGGGATATACAACCAGACAGTTATACTGGTGCCATCGAAATGGTAACTCTTCGCTTGCTGTTGAAGATGGGCACGGAGCGCTTATTAAGTGTCCCGAATACTATGATATCGATTCCTTTTCTGAACATTTAACATTCAAGATCAGCTGCATTGCGCTAAAAAAAAAAGATTAATATATGCTATTGTCCTCTTATGTTGACACAGCGAAGATGTTTTCATTACAGTGCACGAAATGTGTAGTATTAGTGAGTACACATGTGCTGAGCAAACACATATGTATGAATTCGATTGATCGGTTAGGTGCAGCTCCAGCTTCACGTGAGGCGGATGTATCCGTTTCTGCGCCAGCAAAGTCTCTCGTGGAAAAAAATTGCCCCTGTCTGCTGTCTTGGCAAAGCGAATAACATACCCACTTATTAGACATAGTGCAGGCGACAGAAGTGCCAACATAGACTTTCCGCGACTATAACTGCAGTTAACTATCAGTGGAAGCGAATAGCATACACACTTATTAGATTAGTAATGCAGCCGACAGAAGTGCCAACATAGACATTCCGCCACTATAACTGCAGTTAACTATCAGTATAAGCAAATAGTATACACACTTATTAGATTGATAATGTAGCTGACAGAAGTGCCAACATAGACATTCCGAAACTATAAATGCAGTTAACTATCAGTGGAAGCGTATAGCATACACACTTATTAGATTGATAATGCAGCCATCAGAAGGGTCATAATAGACACTCCGGCACTATAACTGCAGTTTACCATCAGTATAAGCAACGGTTAAATGGGCAGTACTAGCAGACATTCAGTTGCGTTAGAAAAAACAAAATCATGAAAAACAAATTAATTTTAAAGATAGGTAGGACTGTCATATTGTCACACATGATGACTATATGATGAAGCTATCATATCAAATAAATATCTATGGAGTTCAGTGTACACATGTTTTACAATTAGGCTTTTTAAAAGCGAAAAATTGTATTTAACAAATGCAAGATATAGATAAAACTATGGATCTATTTGTAAGGAACAGGTACAGCCAAATTCCTTCAATATTGCACATAAAAAAATAGTGAATTAAGAAAGTTCTAGGAAAAAAATTATGGTTGTTCGTCCACTTATAAACTTCGGTCTTATTCCAGAACTTCCGTTTTGCTGCACATTAGTTTTACAGATCTACCCTATTTGTGCGGATACTGTCTGTTCTTTGCAGATAAACCCCGACTTCGAGGGAAGCACCCGTAATTAGTCGCCTTTTACGACACGCATGTTAGTGTAGCAGTGAGCCTTTTATCCATCCTCGTCCAAGAAATTGGTCCCGATCCCACACAGGGAACTGAGTAATTGAAACCAGTTGTGTTTGTGATACTGATGTTGTTGTTTGTTTGTTTGAGTATCCAGTAGCCATAAGTTGTTAACCCTTAGGCTCGGTATTATGGATATCGCAACCTTTCGGCCTTGATTCCATGATGAAAACGGTAAATCTGGAAGAAATATGGCTTTTCCGACTACCCAAGGGAGTGAACCCGGACCAAAAGGAGTTCGTCACCCGGTCACCGCGCACACGGGTTTAGCCAACTACGCTAGAGAGTCAGGCTTGTGATACTGATATACTTGTTCAGTGCCTACATTTTGAAACTGAAGAGCACCTGTCAAATGGTGACATTCTTGTTTTCAATGGGACCTTGGAATCCATGCGGGTTCCGGGAACCCACTGTTGGGAAGGTAAAAATACACAAACTGTCTCCTCAACAAGCATGTCGTATGAGTTGACTAATTGGAAGGTTTTCTTTGAAGTCGGAGTTCATCTGCCGGCCAGGCAAGGAACCATATGACTGTATACAAATAAGCATATCTGTAAAACGCTATACTCAGGTTCTAAAACAAGACTAAAGTCGAGAAGTGGACGAACAGCCATAATATTTTCCCTTCGGGGAAGGTAGCGGGGTGGGGGATTGGCCTTGTGTGGAAGGAGGGGTTGTATGAATCCTAACCTACACAATTCATGGCGACTGCAACAAGCACGTGGCTCTAAATCAGTGGCTGTCAACCTTTGGGTAGTGATCCTTTTAGGAGTCGAACAACGCTCTAACAGGGGTCGCCTAAGACCACCAGAAATCACTTATGTTATGAAGTAGTATTGAAAACTGTATGGCTGGGGCGTCGCCACAACATGAGCAACTTTATTCAAGGGTCACGGCATTAGGAAGGCTGAGAACCACTGCTCTAAATCTTTGGGATAAAGACCCACGACTCACAGTTTGTTTTTTACCTTACTGATTATTCGGACCTGGGTCATCCAAACGAGAGTCAAGTCTTCTAACCGTTAGGATAGCGGTCGTTTTACTAACGTGCACACACACACACACACACACACACACACACACATATATATATATATATATATATATATATATATACACACTTTACTATGACTTTGTTTATTTGAAAGATTGTCTATATAGCCTACTGTGTATAAGTCAGCAATTGCTTTTTAAAAAAAGAGGAGGGACGGGTGAGGGAGAGAGGGGCGGGGGGAGGGGGGCGGGTAACTATTTCACTGAGTAAGAGAAGATAATTGGTGTTATTAGTGATCGGAAAATAGATAACCAGAAGAAAAAGTGACTTAGAAAAGTGGCCGTGGAATCGTCTGTGTAGCCATCGACAGTCGTGCCCAGGGTGAATACGGCAGTTGGAACAGCACATAGGAAATGGATGACAGAAATTAGGCAAAGAATTTTCCGTTCTCTGTTTAGCAATGAAAGAATAGGGCCTGATATATTTTGAGGTTGTTCTTGAACTGTTACGGCATTGTTAGACACAGAAGTGTACTGTTGGGGCAGTGCGTACTGCGGTGGTATCTGTGGGGGTAGCGGGTACTGTTGCACTGGGTACTGCTGTTCTGGGTACTGTTGTACTGGGTACTGTTGCACTGGATAATGTTGTACTGGCTGTTGTGAAGTGGGTATGGAGAAAACCTGACCTTCCGGAGCTTGTGGTGTTGAACTGTGAGAACTACCAGATACGGTATTGCCAGGAAGTTGCGATGATTCTGCTCTGTGGTCCCCATAGTAATGAGAAGGTCCAGTGATACTATTCACAGCGTAATGCTGGGACACGCCCAGAACGGTTCCTTGATTTTGCACCTGGTCGTGGTCTAACGCCTGAAGCGCGACAGTCGAAGTTTCGACATAGACGGGTACCCATTGTCTACACATAACAACACAGCACACAAGAACAGCCAGAAGAGCTGGAAGTATTACAGATATTCCTAATGCAATTTGGTTTCTTGTGCTAGATGAATCTACATAGCATAAATTAGGCAGTCGAGAGTTGCGGCCACTTAAAACAAGGGGAAGTACAACTACAAGACTTAAAATCCAAGGGAAAGAACTGCAGATGACAGACTTCGCGATATTTGCAGGTGTCTTCTCCGCTACTGAGGATGCTCTAAATCTGATGGAAAGCTCGATCGCTAGAACAATCAGTCCTGTAGCGTATACGGAATGTATCAAAAAGGTCATATAAACATCATAAGAAATTCCAGTTGCACAAGATAATTTGAGGTCGTTGACGGCAACAAACTCTAATTCCGTACGTACAACTAAAGCAAAAATAGCCAAAAATATGTCACCAATAGCAAGGGATATCACTGTCAGGCTTTTCAGGGTGTAGAAGAATCCACCTTTTCGAATGACCCGGAAAATCAAGAGACAGTTTGCTAGAAAAATTGTCACAATAAAGGAAATTCCCAGTCCTTTGTCTGCATTGTCTAACTTGTCGTAATCGATCTCCATGGTACAGGCAATTAGAGCCTTCTGATTAATTATTCTATGTGTAGCTTTCAAATATTCTTTTTCTCCTTCTTCACTTCCAATTTTATCTCCTTGGGTGTCGAGGGGGATATAAGTTTCTGCTTTTCTGGCAGCAACTTGAATTTACTTATTGTAATTTTGTTAACAATGAAAGCTTTAATATCTCCATAAAGTTTGTTTGCCCTTAAGGGATGGGTAAGATTCTGAGCTCGGGTCTGTTAGCAGCTCTAATGAACAATGCATTACTTGACAAGCTGTATAGGTTCTGTCATCAAGCTAGTAGTTGTTTTACAAATTCCAGTCTGTAAATAGAGAATATTAAACAATAATAAACAATGAGGCCGCCGCTGTTGAACAATTTTACATGATGTGTTTGGTGGTTCATTCATTCATTCATTATCCTGTTGTCACATAGTGTTCGAGGTCAAAAGAAATTAGAATTAATACTAGATTTAAAATTATTAATTCTAACGTCAAATCAGTACTGTTGTATGGAGCGAAAACATGGAGGTCACCTAAGGAAGTTAGCAATAAACTACAAACATTAATTACCTTTTGCCTTCGCAGAATATAGCAAATTGAATGGTATGATAGAATCGCTAAGGTAGAGCTTTGGGAGAGCACTAAACATGTTCCAGTGGACCAAGAGGTGAAGAAAAGACGGTGGCGTTAGATAGGACACGTGTTGAGAAAACCCGAGAACATTATAACTAGAATGACTTTGCACTGGAACCCATATATCCGTAGGTCATAGAATCAAATAATCGCAGTTTCGACTTCATGGCAAAGGGATCACCCAATTGCTCAGTTCCTGTGCCAACGAAAACCACACCAAATGTCCACCACTTTGCCTTGTGAAACAAATTGACAGACGGTAGTTTCAGAAAATCCAAGAGCATCATCATCATGTGCTCTGCCAACTGGCGTAGGCGCTCATGCGTCTCAACAGATGACGATCCCTGGTTGCCTGGAACAGCTCTCTTGATGATATCCCTCCATGCCATTGTTTCAGCCCATCCAGCATCACCTCTCTTGGTATGCCTTTACCCCTTTTTTCCACTTTCCAGTTGTCACGATGTTCTCCAATGTCTCTCTTCTCATTATGAGGCCAAAAAACTATGTTTCTTTCTTTCTTATTGTTGTATACAGAAATTTACTTTTATTAGCTTCTTTCAAGCTATCGTGACAGTTACTCTGGCCGTCCAAGGTATTCGTAACATTCGTCTCAGAAACAAAATCTCTGTTGCTTTCAAATTCTTCTTAATTCGTTCACTGACATACCCGGATTCGCTGCCATGCAGCAGAAAAGATTCTTTGTAACATTTAAGCCCCCTTTTTCTGACATTAGGTGACAGCGACTCAATGCATAAGATATTTTTCATTTTCTGAAATGTAGCTTTCGCTTGACATATTCTGCTTTAAATCTCAGTCACACATTTTCCATCTGATGATATGATTGTTCCCAGATATTTGAGTTTATTGACTCCAATAGCATGCACATGCATTATATGCATAAGGTGGCCATGGAAGTGCCACAATAAATAGCCCAGCACCGGAAATGCGCTCAGATTCGATGGAAGCAGCGGGTAAGATGTACTGATGTGTGTGGGGGTGGGTGGAGGGGGGGGGGCGACAAACTTCACAAGAAGAAGTGACTGGGTGCAAATTGATGGACGCCTGAATGTTCATCGAAATGTTGCTAAAACTCTTCATCCTAACGCTTATCTAGCTGCAAGAGGGTCGACTTTTCAGCAGGATAACGCTAGGCCTCGTGTGGCACAAATCACCACCCAGTTACTCGCTAACAGCAACACTCACACCATTCCATGACCAGCCAACAATTTCCTCAGACATGATCCCGATATAACACTTCTGGGATGAACTCGACACACAAATTCGTCATCGAGATGTGGCTCTAGTCAATCTCCAACAGTTGTCACTTGCACTCCGAGAAGAATGAGAAGCCATAATCAACAACAGATTCAACAGCTAATTAGATTATTGCCAAAGAGATGTCATTTTCTAAAAGAGGTCAGAGCAGACCATGAACCTACTGAAACAAGGTCCCATTTGCAAAGAATAAAGAGACAAACCTTACGTAATGAACATTACTGCATTGTTCATGTCGTAAAGTTACCTCATGTCAATACAGAAACATTAATTCAGTCAAATAAAATTTTGGTACACGTTTGAAGTTGGCAGTCCATTACAACTGCTCCACAGTTTCACTGCTTTTCCTGGACAATATAAATAACAGCCATACCCCAGCCACAGAAAGCCGAGCCATGAAGATGGAAACGCTAAACCCAACCCTGACCAGGACAACAGAATCAACAGAGCGGACCCTGACATCCTCAGACCTGGCATGACACAGCTAGAGATACTTTGCTACTCCTCGCAACAAACTATTTGAGCTGGTAAATCTAGCGCAGTTAAAACTAGACCAAAATTATAACCGAAGCTGTTCTCAATAGGACTGAAAACATGTTCTTATGAATATATATATATATAAAAATTAAAACGATACTTTGTCATAATATAACATTTTATTTATCTAAGCTAAACAAAACTTACAGTAAGATGCAACAATAATGAAAATTTTTGTGCTTTATTTATATTTGAAACGTTTTCTCATAATTTCTAATACGATGTCATCTAGCATGAGAATGGAGGTGGAGGCGGTAACTGCAGCTCTCCAGTGGCTACAGAACAAGATGCATACACATGTCGTAATTGTAACAGACTCTGAAAGCATGCTGAGAAAGGTGAAGGCAGGGATGCTTCGAGCAGAGTGGCAAGCTTCACTGGAAAGGTGACGGGTAGTGAGCATACTTTGAATCTTTTCTCTAGGCAATGCCGGCGTGGTGGGTAATGAACGGGGAGACAGAATGGCTGTATTGATACATGACAACGAAGATGTGGTCAAGGTCCTTTGGGAAGAAGCAAAGGAATCAGTAGAGAAATAAGATTGTGGCCTGGAGACAATGAGGCACCTGGGTGTAACCAGAGGGTCTGGCCGGCTCAGTACACTCAGAGGAAAGGCAAGACGGACATTTAGCCAGATTGTGACCGGTACCATCAGTAATGGAACTCTCCGCTGGCTGCTGAAGTTAAGGACGGAGCATGCATGGGAATGCTCTGAGTGCTGTGATGTCAATTCTTGACTCAACTCAATTCAACTCTCATACTTTTTTTTTTTTTTTTTTTCAAATGAAAAGCTTTGATAAGATCCTTAAACTAATCTTATCTAACATGACTGTTTTTATTCTTAAAAGAGATAAGGCAACTCAACTAGCCTACCTTGTTGCATTGTTCTGGTGGCATCTTTTTTTTTTTTTTATGTGCATAGCCGAGAAAAAAACGCTAAACTTCAAGGCTGTTGAAAATGTAAGTGGTGTCCCCTTCCTTCGTGATGCCGTAGCAGTGTGCCTAATGTGCCTAATGATTAATGCGGCCCTGCGTATAATGGAAATGAAGCTTAATTAAGCGATACAACATCTGCTCGAAATTCTTCTTCTTCTTGTTCACCGGCTTTGAATTCCGGCGGTAAGTCGCGGTTGTTCGTCCAAAATTGACTTTTGGCTTTTACCTTGACCTGAGTTTTGCGTGTACATCCGTTTTACTGGCTTATTTGTTTGCAGTACTCGTTCCCCGCCTCTCCGGCAGATGTACTCCGACTTCGGAGGAAGCTCGAAATGAATAACTCTTACCTTCTTTGGTGTCTGTGGTGCACAAGTCGACGCAGAAACACACTTGGTTAAAGTTACAAGATAATATAAGAAACAAACCATAGCAGCGAATCTTATTTAAATGTCGACTGCAATCTGAAAAAAATGAGAGCTCTGCTAGATTGTGTTAGCTCGAGCCTTGTCACTACTGATTATTGTAGGTTAATGATAACTGAAGTCCTTAATATATTTGCCACTTATCTTTGATGAGATTAGATTGACATTTTATTATCTTATGTTATGTTGTGTTGTGAACGTCGTAAAAGCACATTGGGCATTCACATGTGTACTCAGTCTTCTGATGCAGCAGAAATCGTTTGGGGCATCTCCTGACTTGTCGTTAAGAAGTTTGTTAGATCTCAAATCTTGAATTCGAAGACGGCTTGGACGTCTCTCACCAACCTTTGGTTGTAGGTCATGTAACTGTGTGAAAATCAGAGACTGGTCATTATGCGACGGTATGTAACTAGTTTTGTGTGTAATGAGTGGAACTTAGAGGGGAATAGGGGCAGAGGAAGACGGGAGAGAAGACCCTGAAAAGTTTTTGAAATCATGGCGTGGAGAATCATTTGCATCAGAGCTCTTTGAAAGTAGACAGAAGGTTGTTAATAAGACATGACTACCACAGCCACACGGCATGGACTTGAGGAAGAAACAGTTATGGTTAGTGAGAGTGGTTAGTTTAAATGAAATAATGACTGGTGGTTAATTAGTGATGGGTGGTTAGAGGCTATTGACGAGTGTCGCGTGCGGATGTGCACTAGAACGCACCAGTACTGAGTGAGCAAATAAGACGTCAAAACAATACGTAACGTCGTGACGGTATTGTTGTCAAAGGCAGTTGATGTCTACAGTTCGAAGAAGACGGACGTGTGGATCCTTGAGGACGTTTTACCCCGGGATTCCACGGAAGCAGACGTTGTATAAAGTTGGATCCTTGAGGATGTTTTACCCCAGGTCTCCACTATAAACCTCAGCAAAGAGCTGGTATATTGTCACAGTTCGGCAGTAAGCCGGTCTACTTACTTTACCTTATTCAGACTGCGGAAGAGAAGATAGAGATGACTGTCTGGATCTCAAGGTCGGACTACGACCCGTTGAGTGAATTTATCAGTCCATGGATGTACGAGCGGGCTTGTGTTGGTGTGTTTGGATGAGCCTAGATTATTAATTGCATATTTTCTCCTTCTGTTAATCATTGCACATATCAATACACCCGTTGGACCTTAACGCATAGCGTTCGAGCTCTACCTT